TTTTTTGTACTGGGGCTTGAACCCAGCGCCTTTGCACTGAGCTACAAAATTCCTCTTTTGAGAACAGATTTCACCAAACCATTAAGCTGCACAGGTTGGGTTTGAATTTGTAATCCTCCCGTCTCAGCCTCCCAGAGGGCTGGGTTGACGTGTGTGTACAACCACGTCTGGTTCATTTCTTCTTTTCTCTTGAGGTGCTGGGACAGAGCCAGGGCCTTGTGCTCTTACTGGCACCATGTCCCTGCCCCAAGGATCCTTTTTGTTCTTTTCTGGAGGACAGCAGAAGCTGGGCTATAGGTGGGATGCTCCTTCCTAAACAGGTAACATTTGAGCAAAAACCCAAAGCAGGTGCTGAAGGTAGCTGTGGGAAGACCTAAGGAAGAGGGCCCAGGCCCAGGAAGATGGTGCAAAGGTCCTGAGGCAGTAGTGAACATACTGAAGGTGCCCGGCTTTGCCAGCTCACCTGCTTCTCTTTTTACTTCTGGTCCCCAGGATTACAGGAAGTTCTGGGCAGGGCTCCAGGGCCTCACCATCTACTTCTACAACAGTAATCGGGACTTCCAGGTAAGGATGCAGACAAGGGCTCAGGAGCTGGCCCACCATGAGTACAGGGGTCATGCTGTGGGTGTGGGTGGCAGGTAAAGCAAGGGCTACCCCATCCAGCTTGCCTGAGAGCCACAGGCCTAGTGCTCACACCCCATCTCTCTGCCCAGCCCCTGGAGAAGCTCGACTTGAGAACATTTGTGAAGCTCACAGATGAGGCTCCCCGAGGAAGCATGTGGGACCCAGGCATCCACTTCAGCCTGGTCCTCAGGGATCAGGATATCAAGTTCAAGGTGGGTTTTGAGCAATAGGGGAGGCACTGTCTCCCCCGGCATTGACACACACAAATGAGGAGTCATGAAGACTTTTCACTGGGTTGGTGACACTACCAGCATGCCAGCCAACCTTTCTAAGCCTCAGTCTCTGTGAGAGGACTGCTCAGCCAGGCAAAAGCCCTGGGGCAGCACAGAACCCTCACTGCAGGATCGGTGAGGAGGCCTTGTGTCTGGAGCAGAGGGTGAGAAGGGCAGGCAAGTAGGGGGTGGGTAGGCCAGGCAGGGCCCTGTGGGCTGCAAGGAGGACTTGGGCTTTGGCCTTGAGGAAGGTAAGAAGCAAGAAAGAGTTCAGAGCACCGGAAGTACACAAATCAGAGGATCTGATCGATGTGTTTTTCAAATATTAATATAATAATAACATTAAAAAAGAATATCCCGCCAGGTGTGGTGGTGCACGCCTGTCATCCCAGCACTGGGGAGGCTGAGACAGGAGGATCACAGTGAGTTCGAGACCAGCCTGGGCTACATAGTGAGTTCCAGGTCAATCTCAACTACATAGTGAGACCCTGTCTCAAAAAACACCCCCCAAAAAAAGAATATCCCACATTACTGAGGACTTATACCCAGACATCACCCTAAAGTAATTTGTCTTATCTCATTCCATTTTCAAAGTGGCTCTTGGAAATAGGGAGTGGAATCCCCACAGCCCATTTCACAGATGAGTAGACTGAGCCTCTTCTACACCGTGTCTTTCTTTTCCTCCCTAGGCAGAGAGCCTGGAGTCTCGGGAGATGTGGAAAGGGTTCATCCTGACTGTGGTAGAGGTAAGTGTGGGAGCCCTCCCTCCCTCTCTCCTCTTCCCCTCTGGAGTTCCTCAGAAATCTCCCTTTTCCTTCCCATCTTTCATTCCCCCAAGGAATTTTTAAGGTGTAGCATGGATGGTCTTTTCCATAAACGTCTTTTCTTTCTTTCAAAAGACTGCTAAAACATTTAGCAGGCACGTTAGTCTGCGTTTCTGATTTCTCTTTGGCTCGGGACTTTCCTGCCCAGCTGTTGCAGGTCGCTGTGTTTCAGACCCGCCGG